TATACATACACACAAAATATCTACACAATTATTGTAAATAAACGGGACTGAGACTAAAAAGTGATAGCAAAATAATTCGCACAGCTCCCCTAAGTAAAGATGACTCAAGCTACTGATAAAATTCCCGCCTGAAAACTACTCACAAAAATTTCAAGATGCGCATATTAGGGCTTTCATAGCACACACTACACCTCAACCCTCAAGACTGCTTTGTTTGAATTCATTCCTCCAAAACAACGTAAATAGAAAACATATACAACAGATGTTTTCTCCTAAGACAGATGTTCTGATGCATAATAGCACAAGATCACTAATGGCGCAGTGTTCCTGCTAATGGAACACCTTGTTTAATTTAATGATTCTGCGCATGCTTTTTGTATGAAAAATGTAAAAAAATATATAACAAATAGTATAGAGTACAGCTATCAAAATTATATGGAATTTTTTTTTTTTTTTGCGTCACAAAAAAATATAGAAAATTACTAGAAAATAAGTGGATTTTAATAACACATCATAAATGAAAATTCTGGGTCTCCTTGTGATATGCTGCCATCTACTATTTAAAAAGAGCAGTTTGAAGTATATTATAAAGGCATTTTTATACATTACGGTTGAATTTAACGGTTTCAGAAGCGATTCAATTTGGGTGTTCCATGTAGTGGAACAATAAGCAACAAAGGGTTAACTACATTCACTCCTGCAGTTAAATACTGTTTCAAATTCTCTGACAAAGTTTACAGTGCAACATGCAGTGCATTACTGTTGCAGTATTTCTCTCTTCATTATAAGAATAAATCCAGAAGTTTTACCCAACATTGCAGGGGCACCATCCGTACCAACTAAGCCTATAATACTCATGGGTAACCATTTTGTTGTCAAACCAAACGGTTCACAACATAGAAAAATCTTCTAGTATTTTTCTTGAATGTACTGTAAAAATACAAACAACTGACTACAATTATGACAGTTGACTTGTCTAATAGGATACTTATTTTTAGAGGGCTGGCTTTGATATTTTCTGCTATCTGCAGTAAAATATCAGCCCTGAGATCTTCAATGTGTGATCGAATCACATTATTTGATAGCCGAATTTGTTGAATTTTCTTTTGTGCTTCAGAACTGAACAAATTTTTGCAGTTTCAAGTGTGAATAGTTTTACTAGTTCTTCAGTTATAGTATGGCTCTTTTTTTTTTTTTTTTTTGTTAGCACACAGATACACTGATTGATAAGAAGCAGTGTATCTGTGTGTGCGTTAGCAGAGGCTTTTCAACTGCTGCAACATTAAATTCTGTAATTTACCACTGCCATCAAATTGTGCTCTCTTAGATTTTCAAGATGTTAAGACTATATCCTGCAGATTCACCACTATGCTGATTACTGAAATGTTCTAACAACTTTGTTAACTCTCAAAGTTGTTAACAAGATTGGAGTTGGAAAATATTTTGCAACATAAAATACATTGTGGTCATTGCGTACATCTTTTTCGGCTGTACAAGGGAATCCATAAACGACATACTGCCCTTCTATTGACACTTTTTTGGCATAATAAGGCTTACTACAATATAAGAAAATAAACTAATTGATATAAATTTTTATTAATGGCTACATTTATTTAAGTTCAATAAATATTACACAATATTAACTAATTAAGTAAATATTGTTACAAATCTCATTTATGTTTATATTCAAGGTACATGAGTATGTCATAACTAGTTTCTATACTGCATGTGAGAACATTAACTGCATGTACTTACGAGTGCTGAGAAAGGTTATAAAAAAAATGGAGTAAGCTTCTCCTGTATGTTCCATGCAATGAAAATGAAGCCGTGAAATGCAATGACTTTTCATGGATGCTGCCATAGGTTGGTTTTGTTTACAGTCTAATTGGTGCTGTTCATAACATGCACGGTCGCCTCGTTCGAATTTTTTTAAAATTATTTTAATTTCTCTTGCATCTCCAGGGATGCATGCACCCCAGGTTAAGAACTACTGCTTTAGAATATTGGCAGAAAAAAGCCAAACATAACACGATCATTTTACTTTACACTTGATCATCTTAAGGTATCACAATTCTTAATGTTAGGAAATTTTTAAGCTTTGTAAGGAGATCTAGTTAAAAGTTAATTGTAAGGAGATCTAGTTAAAAGAAGATCAGTATACTAATAATATAAGCAAACACAATCATGTAAGTTCTGTGTTGTATATTGCTAAAAGAATGTTTACTATTAAAAAATCAATGTAATCAATTTGTAACAACTGCAGAGTGACATGAAAACTGGCAATTACTTTCAAATATTTTTATATGCTTACACTGCATTAGTTCCCCATTATAAAAATTTGAATAACTCTAAAATAAATGCCACTTAATGGTTTAAATTTCAAATTTCTTTCTTTATTATTACAGAAGTCCAGAAATCCGCAAAGCCTGGGACCAGAGGTTGTGCGGATTTTAGGACAGAAAAGATAAATCATAATATTCAGACTAAAAGTGCAAAATAAATAAGGCGTATTAGATACATTTAATTAAATTATTATATACATTATTGTAATAACTTATTATATGCATTAAATTATTATTACATATATAAATTGATTATATCATTCATTGTATTATCTCCTAATATAAATTTAGTAGAAGTATTAAAAAAGAGTGAACCCATGTAGGAAGTTTAATTCCGAAATATGGGTTCACTCTTTTTTTGATACTTCTACTAAATTTATATTAGGAAATAATATAATCAATATTTCTTTAGTAAATAAATTATTATTATCTTACTTAGCAGTTATTGCGCAAGTATTAGAAAAACGTGTTTTCGAATTTAAGATTCATTGTATTATATGTACACAGCATTGAGGTTTGCCGATTTCGCCTCAAGCAAAGATTTCCGGTTTCAGATTCTGGTGTTAGAATCACTGTTGCTGTAAAATTTCAACAGCTTTTCTTTATTTTTCTGTATATCATACACAATCGTGTCGCAATGCCATATGATTCTGCTATAAACCAAGGAGTAGCACCTGCCTCCATTTTTTACAGAATTTGCACTTTTTGCATTACCGTCAATGCAACATATTTACGTTTTTCAACGTTGCAAGCAGCAAAATCATAAGTGCATTTCTTATCTGTCATTGTATTAAAAAGGGCTGAAATTTAAAATATTCTTAATTTATCCACAAAATATCCGGATAAAAAAAATGGCAGCACTAAATAATCTTGTGAAGTAACAAAGCTCAGAAAATACAACAATGTGAATCATGGACTTGAAAGAAGAGTTGAGTGAATCGTCTGCTTTTTTAACTCGATGCAGATTAGAGGGAAAAAAACTTTTATCATGATGTCAATAATTTGGCATTTTCGTTATGACTCATTATTTTTGGTAATTATGACACCATTATTCGGTAAGTACTTTTTCTTCGATATTTCGTACTCAATGTTGTGGTTTCAGGACATTGAACTGAATGTTTATATTTTGAGAGGCAACGTGGATTTCAGGAGTTGGCGGATTTCGGGTCGGCGAATTTTCGGTATTTGACTGTATTACTATTTTTTATGAAAGCATATCATATCAAAGCTCATTTTAAATTCAAAATCAGTATTTTCTGTGTGTGCTTGTAATTTTTTACATTTCAAAATAAGACACTCTTCTGTTCTTGGGACCAGATTCAGAAATATAAGTATGTGTGCCTGTATGTGTTTATGTATGCATGTATATATGTACACATGTATGAATGTGTGTATGCACACACATGTACACTGCGCAAAAAAAGAGGGGGTACAGATCTATGTCTCCCGGTCTATTTGGCAAATTTACAAAATTCAAATTGCATTTTCATGTCTCGAAAGCACAACTTCGGATATAGATTAGATTTATATATAGCATTAATGTAACATATGTATTTTGACACAAAATCGGGCCTTTTCTGAAATAACATACCATTTTTTTTTCCATACTTCAATTCTATGACTCAAATTATGCCTAATTTTGTAATTTTTGGTGAAAAATTTATGGAGAAATTTAAAGATTTATATTGGCGCATTTTTTTAGTTTGCACCAAGTTTCACTTGGAAAATTCTTAATTTACAGTAACCTATTTTCCTTTCCTTTTTTTCTTTGTACACAAGCAGAAAAAAATTCATCATTCATACTTTCAAATAATTTTAACTAAGTGCATAAACCATATTTGGTATTATTATGGCTTATAACAAATATGCCAAATTTCAAAATGTCCAATACGTAAATTCACATATATGTCAGGAAATTTTGAATAAAAAAAATTGATTTTTTGCAGATATGCTTAGAAATACATCTACTTTAACATTTTTATTGGTTATAATAAAAAATGTTTTCAAAAAATTTATAAGAATTATTTTAAAATGCAAATTTTAAAAATAAATCATAAAAAGTCTGTGAATTTTATTTGGAATGAACATAAAATTCGAAATGCGAAAGGAAGAATCAAATAAGTTTAATAAAAAATTACTAATAAATATATATCAAATTCAATTAACATTGAGGAGCTAAAATTTTGAGAGCTAATTTTTTACAAAACCTGGCAGTTTGGTATAATTTAAGTCGTAGAATCAAAAAAAGGGGAAAAAAAAGGGGGGGCATGTTATTTTAGAAAAAGTCCAATTTTGTGTCGAAATACCTATATTAGAACAATGCTATATAAAAATCTACTACATATCTTAAGTCATGCATTTGAGATATGGAAAACACAAGTTGAATGTCATCAATCGGGCCCTGTACAACGGGAGATATAGAACTGCCGCCTTTTTTTTTGGTACAGTGTACATACATATATTTCTGAATCTCACCCCAATAACAAAAGAGTACCTAAAATAATAGGAAAATGAGTCGCTATAATACATTCTAAAAATTATTACTTTAAAATTTACTATAAGCTTCTGATAATCCAACAAAATTAATTCAAATTTCAGTTATATGATTTCATTTAATATATCAAATGAATGTAATTATTTAAACGATTATTTTTGCACCTGCTTTTCTTCTTCAGTATCACTTTCTTCTTCCTCTTCAGATGATGAAGAACTACCTTTGGATTCATCTGATTCTTCATCACTACTCAGCTCACCTCTTTGTTGCTAAGCAAAGTTTTACAAATTATAAAACATACATAGGCTTCAAAGTTAAAAAAGAATACAATACAAATGAGCATTATTATATTAAAAAATAAAATATTGGTTTTTACTACTTGCATTTTGTTAGCATTTCTATTTAAAAATTGACATGATTTTATACTCAAACAAACAAAAAAGGTTATGAAATAATGGAGCTGATATCTGAATTTTTAACTATACATCAGCAAGAAAATCAAACTGAATATCTATTATTGATTTCTATACTGGAATGCCATTTTCAAAGTAATTCTGATAAAATCGTAAGAATTTTATATTTTGCTTTGCTACTACAAAATGCTAAAATTACAGCAATTGGGCAAAAAAATTAACAGTACAGAACATATAAAGAAATGGACTACTACAAGATATGAAAACTCCATGCAAAAAATAGACTGCTTCCAAAAAAATCATACTAAAATATTTAGTTTTCATCTATTCATTGCTTCTTTAAGTACTATCGCATTATCCACGTAACCGTCGCACAAAGTCACCAAAATAACACGTGAAAAACAGTAGGTATTAAAAAAAAACGAGGGCCTGTGCTGGAAATTACATAAAATAGCAAAATTGGAAGAAACATACACAATGAAACATTTAAAATTACGTAATGCAAACATTGATAATGAAACACTCAAAATTTCATATAGCAGTAACAAATCAAATAAATTAAAAATGCATCAAATACCCATAATGAAACACCTAACTTTCTATTTTCTCAATCTTCTGTCTGTGTACACAATATTCTGTTTTAACTTCAGAAAAATAAATAAAAAAATAGAGAATTGCACTTATTTGGAGAAAACTATTACAACGATCACTTAAGAATAGTTTATAAACTGCAAGATTCAATCATTTCTAGCTGCAAGATTTCTACAATAATGTAACACTGGAGATAAATAAAAGATAGCCTACTGTTCTTTATGTGCATTTTACTATTTTAACAATAATAATAACAATATTTACATTTTTTATATACTGTTCAGCTATCTGCTTTAAAATTTCTTCAAAACAGTCTTCTTGCTTTCCTTACAGACATTTTCTTCAAATCAGTTCCCCAAGATGAGAAACAATTCCCAGTTCCCAATTCTGACAATTCCTGCACTTTTACTCTCTACTAATAGTAGAAAGGTGATACACATCTGAAAAAATGAAGCACTTTATTTTTTATTAGCAATCAAATTCAATAGTTACATTATGATTTATTACTAAACTCAGTGGCACAACAGTCCTAATGGGCCACGGCTGGCAATGCCCTGAAGTCTGCTTTCTTGACCTTGGGTCTCAGAGTGCATCAGCATATGTCCTGGGCAAGTGGACAGCTTATCGCAGGACTCCCGGTGTTTAGTCCCCAAGCGAACTTGGTACTCATTTTACTGACCCATTCAAGGGATGAAATGCTGAGTCAACCTTGCCCAGCCTGGGGATCGAACCCCGGACCAGATGTTGCAGCTGCCCGACGCACTAGCCACTTCGCCACCAGGTGGTCTTATGATTTATTACAAGGGGAAAACACACACACCAATCACAAGCAGAAATTACAAACATAACCCTCAGGATTCCAAAATCATGTGCATTTAATGGGTTGCTAGATAAAATACATTTCCATAAAATTCTTGGTTGCTTACATAAACAACATAGTGCTTATCCTAGCAATTATTGTCATGGTTGAGTGGATAATGCAATAGTATGTTCCTTTATTTCCAAAAGCAAGTTTTGCAAAATTTACCATAATACACTAAAATATTTTAATATATTTAATTTGTGTTGCTAAATGTTCTTAAGCATCTGAGTGCCACGACCGGCTTTATCTTGGTCATGAGATTTTTTGTCATTTGGTACAGTCAAAAGTCGTTAATCCGGACTCGTCGGGACTTCGGCGATTCCGGATTATCGATTTTTCCGGATTATACATCATTAGTTTAAATCTCGTAAGATGGGCATGCAGAAATTCTAAAATTAAAAATATGAAACCGTAATTTATGAAATAAAGAACAATTATGATCTAAAGAGTATCAAAATTTACAAAAAAAAAAAAAAAAAAAGGTTAATATTTATTTGTTTACTTTATTAAACATTTCTTTCAATGTAAGTTGTTTAAGTTGCTACGTTTTATGTGATAATACTTTCTCTTTAATTCTATAAACAGACATAATTTCTTGTTCAGTTACAAAGTTTCCCTGTTCAAGTCCCGTTAATTGCTGTGCCGAGAATACCGACTAACTTGTCAATGGAATTTTTTTTGTTTTCACTAACCTCTCTGTCACATTCTTCATGTCTTTATCCATTTTTTGCAGCAATTCCACTTTTTGTTTGTTGGACATCGAACCATACTTTCGTTTTGTAGATCCTTTGGAAGTTCCAGCATCGGAAATTCTATTTGACATAATCGAAAGTTCAAGTTTACTTTTATAAAATTGCTCTTACAGTCTGCAAAAAATAATAAGCGGGATCCAATTCGAAGATTAAGGAACAATGCAATCATTAACATTAACTGAAATAGATAATTAGATAATTTTAGCTTACACCGTCCGTTATACATTAAATGCGCAGGCAAAAACGTATTCTGCACTTGCGCAGACGCATATGCGCAGTAGTCAAAGTCTTACGCGCACGCGTAAAATGCCTGTGCGCATGCGCCGCGTTGGCACATGCGCAGAAAGTTTTTAGCTTTGAGGTCCGAATTAACGACTTTTGACTGTATTAGCTTATAATTTATGACATGGTACATATAAGCTTATAATTTATGATATTTTGCTTTCTTACTTTTAATAATATAAATTCCATCTTAAAAATGTAAATTTATGAAAATAAAGCCTAAAATAAGTAAATATAAAAATTTAGCAAATAAAGGCTCTTTAAATATACAGGTCTTCACGACAGATCCAAAAACCTGGGCTGCTCAGAGGGTTAAGCTAATATATATATTTCAACACACAAAAGGAATTTTTTCCGCTGATTTTATAAATAACTTTTTTTTAAATGCAGTTATGCTAATATTCATCTCATTTTGGTGGCTTTATCGTACAAAGTGTTCATTTTGTCATTTTCAAATATTAAAACTACTTCAATATAGTTGATCTGTACTTTTTATTTTAGTTTTAACACTATGAAACTATCTTGACAACTAATGAAACTTCTGCTTACTTCAAAACATAAATTTGTTTCTCAATTCCAGAAAGTGTTAACACATTACATATAATCAAAACAATCTTCTAAAAGAATTAAAAATAGAAAATTCTTCAGGATTTAAAAATGTTTGAGAACATATGTGTGATAATTCAGGGAAGACAACCTGAGGATTCGAGTTAAACAACTGCATAGATGCTTATCATGGCAGCACAGAAAAGAAGAACTTTCAGTCGTAGCCATTAAATTCAAACACATACTTTTATTTTTATAATACAGCATGTAGCAAGATGAATAAACAGGTTCACACATCATTTAAAGGTGTGAGATGCATCCCACACTTTTATACAGCTTCCAACACATCTTCTTAGCAGAAAGTAAACTATGCATGGCTAACAGAAAAAAAGCAAAGCAGAAAAAAAGAGACAGCACAATATTTAAATACTTGATTTCTTTGTTTAAATTTTCAGCTTAGCGATTGGATTAGAGCGATATGCAATTCAGGAAAATAAGATGACATAATGTGGATTAGTATTCAAATGTGATGTAGTTTAGATTCCAGAAAGGGGATGTAGCCAAATTAAAGTTAGTAATTTTGAGTTTCATATTTTATATCTTACATATTACATCTCTAGGTTGTCAGAATCAGTAAAGAAACACTTAAAATTCCTTAAAGATGGTGGCCACAGCATTATTTCTAACATCGTAACTGGTCATGAACCATACATACCATTTTTGACATTCGAACACGCCAAGAAAGCAAAGTATGGTCTTTGAAGATGTTTCTATGCCCACAATGGTGAGAAGATAACGTGCCATGCAAAAAAAAAAAAAAAAAAGCATGCAGTTTCCTCAGAAGTGTAGAACTGGTCAAAGCCATAAAAGGACAGAAGCTAACAGTCATAGCTAACTGGTATACCAATAAGCGTCTTCCAGAGGAGGGAAAAAAAAGCTTGGTGACAGAAAAGGCATTATTACAGTATTAGCAAATAAAGTTTTGTACATTATATTATATGTACTTTTTTCCAAGTTGAATTAAAATGGATTTCTTTTGGTTTCACTGTGCCCCTGCATTTTGTTCATGAACTTTTTAATATCTTAACATACAAAATGATACATAAAAATTAAATTTGAAAATTTTGCAACAAAATATTATATATGTATAGTCTAATTTTTAAAAGTCTGATTTCATTTTCTATAAAAATATAAGTTTTCTTTTCAGTCTTTTCCAACCATAATAAATATTGTTCTAAATTTGCAATCTAGTTTTTTATAAAATATGGAGGTCACTGAAATTTTTTAGATAAGCGCAAGCGATAAGTGTCAGAAAAAATTAACAGTTAGATTTTTAAATATAAACTATTTTAGCCTAGCAGACTATTTTTTATTGGCCAAGAATAAATTTTAGGTAGAAGGGAAAATGGAGTTGACACGAGAACATTATCACACTACAATTTTCTATGATTTTAAAGTGAGATTCAATCAAGAATGCATTCAGTGTCTACAATCAGCATCTGGAAATGAAGGTTCATCTCATGCTACTGTATTCAGATGGTTTAGAGAATTTCACAGAGGTCGCAACTCTCTTCAGGATGAAGAACACACAGGAAAGCTGTTGTCAGCAATAATCCCAGATAATGTGTCTGCCATACGGAAAATGCGAACCTACCAAATGATACAGAAAGAACCAGCATTGGATCTGCCACCACACTTAAAACTATTCATGAAGAATTACATATGAAAAACTAGTTTGCCACTGGGTTCTGTATAATTTATCTGAGCATCAAAAGGAATAGGTTGTCAGAATCAGTAAAGAAACACTTAAAGATGGTGGCCACAGCATTATTTCTAACATCGTAACTGGTCATGAACCATACATACCATTTTTGACATTCGAACACGCCAAGAAAGCAAAGTATGGTCTTTGAAGATGTTTCTATGCCCACAATGGTGAGAAGATAACGTGCCATGCAAAAAAAAAAAAAAAAAGCATGCAGTTTCCTCAGAAGTGTAGAACTGGTCAAAGCCATAAAAGGACAGAAGCTAACAGTCATAGCTAACTGGTATACCAATAAGCGTCTTCCAGAAATTCTTCAAGAAGTGAATGTTAGAAGACTCATGCTGCACCACGACAATGTATCTTCTCATTCAGCAAGATTGAAAGTTGATTGCTTGATCAAAATCGCATCAAAGTGACAGAACATCCACCCTATTCACTTGATCTAGCTAACTGGGATTTTTAGCTATTTTATAATTTTAAAAATAACTTATGTAGACATCGTTTTCATTCTGATAAGAATAATGAGGCTTTTATCGATTCCATGAAATGAATGGCTTGAGACATTAAATCTTTGGAAAATTCGTGTACAAAAGTGCATTGATGCTGGATGAGACTCCTAAATTTTGTACATATAACTTTAAAAACCTATGTGTATCTAAAACATTTCAGAGTGACCCTTGTAATTGAAAGAATTCAGTTCTTGAAAAATCTTAGCTTGAATATCATAATGTAATTTTATAGTTCTTGTCTTCAAAGTCTTTTATAAAAACTGTTGTATTCAATTTTTAAAAAAATTATGTTATTTATTCCTGAAATGATTTTTAAAGTATTTACTCACTACAGTACAAACTACATTTTCTTATTGTAAATCAATGTCAAATGTACTTTAGAAATTAATAAATAGAAAACAAACAAAATATAATAACAAAGTAAACTTTGGTGAAAAATGGTCAGGTCCTCTACAAGAGAATCTGTGTAACTATTTGCTGATGTCTGTGTGGAATGCCTAAATACAATAGCACATAAAAACCTCTGTTCCTCATACATGGTATCTAGCTTTTAGCATTTATAAACAAATCAGAGTTTCTATTTATGATTTAAGGCCATAAAATACTTCAAATTATGCAACTGAAATAAATAATAATAATAATAGAAAAATACAAAAATTCAGTTTAAGATGAATAACTTAAAGAACAATATGACTGGTGAAAACATTCAGCCAACATTTAATAGCCATAGCTGACACTCTGCAAAATATAAAATACGAAACACAAAATTGCTAACATTAATTTGGCTATGTCACTTTCCCTGGAATCTAAACTGTGTCATATCTGAAAGCTAATCTGTATTACATCATTGTATCTTGCTGCATTGCAATGGCCCAATCACAGAGCTCAAAATCTAAACAAAGAAATCAAATCTTTAAATACTGCTGGTACAACTCAGCTGTCTTTTTTTTCCTGCTTTGCGTTGCTTCTGTTAGCCATGCATAGTTTGTTTCTGCTTTATTCTTTATCTAAGTATATGTAAGTTGTACAAAGGTGAGGGATACATCTTGCGCCCATAAATGATGCTACCAGAATGTTTACCTGTATCAATGCTTGTTCTATTACAGAAATGAAATTATGTGTTTGAATTCGACAGCTATGGCAAAGTTCTCCGTTCTCTCGTAATAAGAATCTATGCAGTAGTTTTACTTGAAGCCTCCAGTCATCTACACCAATTTTTTGCAATTAAAATAATGGGAGGATACGACGATCACTCTCCAGTGGGCGAGCAGTAAAGTTGCTGAACACTGGTAGTTCTGTCCGAGATTCAAACCCTGGGATGCAATCGGAAGACCTGCATGTCCGAGATGCAAACGGAAGGCCTGCATAGCATTTTTGTGGTTTTTTTTCCATTATGGCATGTATATAAGTCAGAAAGTCCACCACAAAGGCCCCCTCCCTTCGGCAGATAGTCCTCTTGGCTTTGCTGTAATCACATAAACTAAACCAAACTATGATCTCGCATGTGTGCCTTTCAATATGTATTTCAATTTCTTATGTATGTGTAAACAAAAAATATTTCTATGTTCAAAATTCTAATGAGTAAAATATCTGCCTAAGGGTTAAATATCATCCAATGAATCATAAAATGCTTTTCCGGCAACAAAAAATGAGCCATCTTTGAAAGCCATCTAATTTCATTGCATTTCGCCTTCAAAACATACGCTGTTTAAAATGAGTATCGTTTAAATTTTTCAGCATTATTGTTAAAGCATTAAAGCATTATTGTTACAATATAATAATTCAGTATTTTGTTTTAAATAATTTTGAGTTTATAAGAAAGTAATTTTGTTTCCTGTTTTATTTGCTATAATTTTGATGATGTTTTTATATGCATGAGTCACAAAATGTATTGATTTTTTTATAAAACTGTATACGCAGACGAGATCAAAAACATTAAAAATGTCCCAAAAAATACCAGAAACTGTTTCTGTAGATAAAGTTACCTATCTGGCACTTGATTCAACAAAGGGTCTTCTCATTAATAAGTATATTATGTTTTTTAAAAAAATGTAGTGCAAAAGGTATTTCTGATAAAGAAAAATCAACTATATTTCCAGATTTTTTTTAAAGGTGAGGCAGTGTCATTTTATATCCACAAATGTATTGAAATTGAGGATTAGAATGTATTAAAAGAAAAATCTTTAACTTACTTTTCTAGTTCAGAAACTGTTACATTTAATCACATTGTTTCAGTTACATAAAACAAATTTAAAGGTACTGATAAGTACTTTGTTTAAAAATTAAAACTAGGTTCTGCATTACATTTAAATGATAAACTTCTTATTAAGTCTTTAACAAGGTTTGCTAGGGAAATAATGTGTATTACTTTCTGTCCAAAATATAAGCTCCCTTAAATATTAAACTTTCCTATCAAGAAAGTTATTTTCAACTTCAAGTTCATCTAAAAGACCTGAAAGCACAAGTAAAGTGCCCAAATTTACTGTTCCTAGGGCAGAACTCTCATATTTTAATTATCCAAGATATATAATACTCCATATTCCAAGACCATTCTACCCTAGATCTTATGCGTCTCAAAATCTGGTCTAGAAAAATTACAACACCCAGTTTTGAACTATAATTCACCTCCATCCAATCAAAATCAAACTTCACCAAGAAATTATAGTTCTTAATGTACGGAATTACTTATTTAAATGCATGGAATAATAACTTTCCTGCTATTTAGATTTGGTTAGTCAGGCTAATGTAACTTCTGAGAATAAGTTGTATTGATAATTTTGAAACTCTTTAAAATAAAATTTGCAGAAAATTTTCATGTATTTGCAGAAAGTAAATATGATGTGGGTTGTACTGACTTCAGAACTTAGAACTGAACTTAGAACTTCAGAACTGTAGCTTATAGACCATAAAAGATATCCTGTAAAGATAATGATAAAATTAAAAAACAAAGAGAAGAATTATAATATGCAGGTATCATAAAACCTTCATCTAGTCCTTAATGCTGCATCTGTAACTTTAGCATATAAAAGATAGTATTGCACAATAGTAACAGCAGCATTTAAAAACTTGATTTCTTTGTTTAAATTTTGAGCTGTGCGATTGGATGACAGCCATCGGCAATACAGAACGATGGCATAATGTGGATTAGTTTTCAGATATGATTCAGGCCAAATATTTTCGTGAATAGAAGGGATCAAGAACCAATGCAGGGCACCAAAGAACTCCTTCCGATTAAGCATTTTCGCTAATTCAATTTTGAGATATATGTAACTATATGTCAAAATTGTCTTACATATATATAAGGCAAACTTAATAATAATTTACATAGTAAACTACTTAATGTCATGTTGATGCTAACAGACTGTAATGAAAAGATTCATAATTACCCTCCACTGCCTTTCCTTTTCTTTCTTCTCTTTACTTTGTGCTAGCTGATCTGGATTAGTGAAATGTCGGCGTTGCCCTTTATGACCACTTCCTCCACGTCCACGGCCTAAAATGAGAAATAAAACATAATCATGACATCCGCTAAAAACAAGACGTACAATTTCTTTGAAATATGTCGAAATCCATTTGAATACCTATAAACAAAACTTTATTTTTCATCTTTTGGCAACATATATCTGCAAAAATTGAGATAAAATATATCACTAACCATTAAATAACTATAAGTTTATTTTAGGGTAAAAATAGTTTTAAGGAAATATTTTCTTTACCTTTAAATCAATATAAATGCTTGCTGATAGTGATATAATATTGCGTACTATATTAGAAACTTTATTATTATAATTATACAAAAAATGCACAGAATTTTCATATATTAATGTTAACAAAGTCGGCTCTACTCTTATATGCGCCCTAAGATCACCAAATGTGGCGATATGTGTTCTCCGCTGGATTTTGGTGCGATTGCATGTTGTATGGCAACCCTTTTGACGTTGAAAACTCTCTCGTTGGTTCGTGCGTGTTTTGAAATGGCCTCTGTTGCAATGAGAGACGTGGTTGCAAGAGGGTCTGGGAGATTATTTTCAGTGGCTGTGCATGATAGATGTAAGGAAACGCTGATGCAGTGTATTAAAGAGTGAATTGAGCCTTACACAACTATTTTTTTCGGATGGCTGGAAATCTTACAAGGATTTAGGAAAAGAAGGTTTAGAACATTTATTTGTGAACCATAGTATGAATTTTCTGGATAGTGTGTCTGGCTGTCATATAAATACATAGAGATACGTGGCGACATGTTAAAGCTACGTTGCCTACTTATAATCGGAAATACAATTTTTGGTTTTATTTGGTGGTTTATATATTTTCCTATGTTGTTCTGAAAGGGAGGTTTTAACGAATTTGTGGTGAAATTGTTTTGGTATTTTGAAATTGGCTGTTTCTTTATCGAAAAGCATTCATTCACGGTAAGTGAGTTTTATTTTATTCTTGTTCTTATTTTGTAGAATGTTATGTTCATTGTTTTTTTAGTATGAATTTCTGTCGGTATTGTTGTTTTTTTTTAAACTGTTTGATATTTATTCTAGTTATTTTAGTTTATTTTGTTGATTAGTGCATAGTGCCTAGATTGTGCAATTTGTGGATGTTTTTTAAACAGGATGCTGTGTACATGGTATTCTTTGAAATTTATTGTTGTTACGTTAATTTATTAAAGCGAGGTGTGCATAGTTCATAGATTCGTTTGTTGCCTTCATTGTGCAATTCATAGATTTTTTTTTTTAAGTTAAAACATATTGCTGTGTACATGGATTCTTGTCAATTATTTTTGGTTAGAAACTTTCCGTTTTTGCTATCTAAAGTTTTCGTTTTTGTTTCCGATTTTTAGCTTAAATGGTGTGTTTAAAACGTGGTTTTTGCATGTGTAAAAACCGCGTTTTTGGAGACATTTTAGGCTTTTGAAATGTAGACAAAAAATTTAGATAGTAATATGGCACCGTGGAGTTTCTTGCCAAAAATGTTTGGGGAGAAATTTGGCGACCTGAGGGAGCATATAAGAGTAGTTCCAAAAAATCTAAGAAGTAATAATAATTTAAAAAAAACCTGTTCAATTAATCTGCTGACATCAACAATACATTTTATTACCAGAAACAAACACTAGATTGTTCGCAGTGTATCTGCAGGTGCTAGCTGACATTAATTTGAGTTTGTTTGACATTAATTTGAGTCTTAGTTTGAGGCACACCACTGCTTATATTAAGTCCTGAATGCCAACATGAATACTTATTTACAGTACAGTCAAAAGTCGTTAATCCGGACTCGTCGGGACTTCGGCGATTCCGGATTATCGATTTTTCCGGATTATAGATCATCAGTTTAAATCTGGTAAGATGGCATACAGAAATTCTAAAATTAAAAATATGAAACCGTAATTTATGAAATAAAGAACAATTATGATCTAAAGAGTATCAAAATTTACAAAAAAAAAAAAAAAAAAAAAAAAAAAAAGCTTAATATTTATTTGTTTACTTTATTAAACATTTCTTTCAATGTAAGTTGTTTAAGTTTGCTTCATTTTATGTGATAATACTTTCTCTTTAATTCTATAAACAGACATAATTTCTTGTTCAGGTTACACAAGTTCTGCTGTTCAAGTCCCGTTAATTGCTGTGCCGAGAATACCGACTAACTTGTCAATCGAAATTTTTTCGTTTTCACTAACCTCTCTGTCACATTCTTCATGTCTTTATCCATTTTTTGCAGCAATTCCACTTTTTGTTTGTTCCGACATCGAAACATACTTTCGTTTTGTAGATCCTCTGGAAGTTCCAGCATCAGAAATTCTATTTGACATAATCGAAAGTTCAAGTTTACTTTTATAAAATTGCTCTTACAGTCTGCAAAAAATAATAAGCCGGATCCAATTCGAAGATTAAGGAACAACGCAATCATTAACATTAACTAAAATAGATAATTAGATAATTTTAGCTTACGCTGTCCGTTATACATTAAACGCGCAGGCGAAAACGTATTCTGCACTTGCGCACACGCATATGCACAGTAGTCAAGATCTTACGCGCACGCGTAAAACGGCTGTGCGCATGTGCCAAATCGGCGCATGCACAGAAAGTTTTTAGCTTTGAGGTCCGGATTATGGGTGTCCGAATTAACGACTTTTGACTGTATATAGTAAGAGGCTAGCCTGTCATAATGAATGATTTTAAACTTAGAATTTGATGAATAATGAATCTGAACTACCACAATGTTCAGCCTGTTTAAAGCAATGTAAGGTCTATTCCAGGGTGACTGTTGTTTAGAAGACAGCACTTTCTATCAAATCGGATTCTATAACCACACTTGTCACTTTCACTGAATTGATGTCCTGTGGCTCTTTTGCCTTTTCAGGTCTTCATCTTCTCTGTCGGCAAGTTGACTCACTCCCCCACAAAATTTTACATCACTTCAATCCGAGCCTCGAGATCTCAAAAGTACTCAATGGGCGATGAAGGCACATCCAGAGGGCAACTAAGCAAGAGATCACATGGCAGATGATGGTCTAGACCAAAGTTTCTTAAACTGTGGGTTACGACAAGGGGGTAAGCGAAAAATTTTAGCAATTTTGATATTTCTTTAATTTATTATAATAATTTTACAATTACCAAATATTTTTTTATATAATGTATCTGAAAATAAATAAAGATAAGATTACATAGAGAAAGAAAAAACGAAAGTATTTCAAAGCATTTTTTTATAATACAGTCAAAAGTCGTTAATCCGGACTCGTCTGGACTTCGGCGATTCCGGATTATAGATCATCAGTTTAAATCTGGTAAGATGGCATGCAGAAATTCTAAAATTAAAAATATGAAACTGTAATTTATGAAATATAGAACAATTATGATCTAAAGGGTATCAAAATTAAAAAAAAAAAAAAGCTTAATATTTATTAGTTTACTTTATTAAACATTTCTTTCGATGTAAGTTGTTTAAGTTGCTACGTTTTATGTGATAATACTTTCTCTTTAATTCTATAAACAGACATAATTTCTTGTTCAGTTACAAAGTTCCCCTGTTCAAGTCCCGTTAATTGCTGTGCCGAGAATACTGACTAACTTGTCAATCGAAATTTTTTCGTTTTCACTAACCTCTCTGTCACATTCTTCATGTCTTTATCCATTTTTTGCAGCAATTCCACTTTTTGTTAGTTCCGACATCGAAACATACTTTCGTTTTGTAGATCCTCTGGAAGTTCCAGCATCAGAAATTCTATTTGACATAATCGAAAGTTCAAGTTTACTTTTATAAAATTGCTCTTACAGTCTGCAAAAAATAATAAGCGGGATCCAATTCGAAGATTAAGGAACAATGCAATCATTAACATTAACTGAAATAGATAATTAGATAATTTTAGCTTATACCGTTCGTTATACATAAAACACACACGCGAAAACGTATTCTGCACTTGCGCACACGCATATGTGCAGTCGTAAAGGTCTTACGTGCACGCGTAAACGCCTATGCGCATGTGTCAATGCGACGCATGCGCAGAAAGTTTTTAGCTTTGAGGTCCGGATTATAGATCATTCCGGATTTATGGGTGTCCGAATTAATGACTTTTGACTGTAGAAACATTTATTTACTTTAAAAATTAATGACCTAAAACTGCAATAGAATATCACAGTACAAGTGAAGAAATTGATCGTTTCACTCACACTTGTGTTGGATTTGCACAATGCTTGTGGGGTCCTCCAAAATTTTCGTAAATATTATGGAGTCCTCACATTAAAAAGTTTAAGAATACCTGGTCTAGACCAAAAATCATCTGGGATCAGAAACAGCCACTTGTCTCATGAACAGCACTGCAATAGTAAAAAAACAGAAGTAACTTCTGGTCCCAGTTCTGTTGGTTTCTGGAAACCATCAGCGAGGTTATTAAGGATGGCTTGATTTAATGGATTATTAAGGATGGCTCGATTATCATGTCATCTGACTGGGGATGTTAAGGTGTCGTTTGGATTTTGTTAATGCTGAGTAGCTTGCAGAGCTTTCTAACCCTTTCTGAGCAGGCGTCCCACATATGCATTTTCTATGAATGTCTCTCACAGCTGGATGTCCCACCATGCATTGCTGGAGATTGAATTCAGGAGAAGGGTGATATGTATTTGCATTTTAAAAATAAATTTATATATCATCATAGCAACACAGAATAATAATACAAGGTATTGAAGACTACAGCTAACTATTGTGTAGCTGCTTTTCCAGTCTTTTAAAAACTGTATCTTGTGCACATTTTCTCTTTCTGATTTGATGCTTTTTGTTATAAAAAAAATGCTGAAATTTTGATAATATTGTGGTAAAAGCTTACTCTATGGTACTCCTTGGTAAATTGTTTCTTTTTTCGACGCCAAGATCGATGCCAGCAAGGATCGGCACCAATTTTCAAGATTGCCACTCCAAAAAACCAAAATATCCATGTATGTATTGTATAAGTCATAACAACTTGTATAAGTCAAAGACTTATACAAACTCGGTGTCCATGTACACATCAACCTA